TGTGGGTATTGTTGGCTGCTAGTGATCGGGGCTCCCTCTCGGCTGGGCATCCAGCTGTAGCTGGATGTGCGTGTATATATATATATATAATATATATATATATATATATATATATATATATATATATATATATATATATATATATATATATATATACACACAAACACACACACACACACACACACTTACTCTGGTCTTCTGATGTATATATTTTTTAAAGCACAAATTTTGATATTGGCTTATAAAACAACGATGTTTTTTAAGACAAGCAGAGTGTGAAGACATTGTTCCAATAACTCAATCCAGAAAACATGATATTAACTTTCTCATGGTTGGTCCATAATTATTAAATTTAAGCTCATCTAAAACAAGTTAGGTGCATGTTGGCGGACGTGCACTCTCTCTCTCTCTCTCTCTCACACACACACACACACACACACACACGCACACACGCACACACACACACACACACACACACACACACACACACACACACACACACACACACACGAGTAATAAAGTGATGGTTGATATACTGGCTGAAGTGGCCAGAAGGGCTCATGCCAGAAGGGCAAAGCTGCTGATTATGGGTAACTTCAACCAAAAGGAAATCGACTGGGAAAACCTGGAGCCACATGGGGGCCCAGAAACGTGGCTAAGATGATGGAGGTGGTACTGGAAACCCTCATGTACCAAAACGTAGGGGACACTACGAGAGAGAGAGAGAGAGAGAGAGAGAGAGAGAGAGAGAGAGAGAGAGAGAGAGAAGATGAACCAGCAAGACTGGACCTAGTATTAACCTTGAGTAGTGCAGATATTGAGGACTTCACATGTGAAAGACACCTTGGGGCCAGTGATTACTTGGTTCTGAGCTTGGAATACATAGAATTACAAGTTGAGAGGGTGAGCAGGAATGGCAGGACGATTGAAGCGAAACTACATGAAAGGGGACTACGCAGGCATGAAGAATTTCCTACACGGGGTTCAGTAGGACAGAGAACTGGCAGGAAAGTCAGTAAACGAGAGGATGGAATGTATCAAAAATATGCAAGGACGCTGAGGAGAGGTTTGTACTCAACGGTAAGAGAAATAACGAGAAAGACAGGATGAACCCTTGGTTTACCCAAAGGTGTAGGGAGGTCAAAACCAAGTGTGCTAGAGTATGGAAAAAATGTAGAAGGCAAAGGACCCAGGTGAATAAGGAGAGCAGTAGTAGAGCCAGATATGAATATGCACAGGTAAGAAGTGGGTCCCAATGACAATACGAAAATGACACAGCAGCGAAAGCCAAATCTGACCTGAAGCTGTTGTATAGCCATATCAACAGGGAAAACAATAGTCAAGGACCAGGTATTCAGGCTGAGGAAGGAGGGGAGAACACAAGAAACGACCACGATGTGAGGAGCCCAATATGAGATTCAAAGAAGTGTTCACAGAGACAGAAAGGACTCCAGAAAGAGGGAGAGGTGGGGTACACCAAGTGTTGGACACAATGCATACAACCGAGGAAGAAGTAAAGAGGCTGCTAAGCGAGCTAGATACCTCAAAGGTGACAGGGCCAGATAACATCTTTCCATGGGTCCTGAGAGAGGGAACAGAGGCACTATGTGCACCAATAACAACAATCTTTAACACATCAATCGAAACAGGGCGACTACCTGAGCAACATTACACGACACTGATAGAAGTTGATAGAAGCAGAAGATACTTGAAGACGATGTAATCAGTCCATCACCCTTAAAGTTTTGAGGTGGTCAGTCCCTCAGTCTGGAGAAGAGCATTGTTCCGTTGTCTGAAACAATATTGTTTCAGACAACGGAACAATGCTCTTCTCCAGACTGAGGGACTGACCACCTCAAAACTTTAAGGGTGATGGACTGATTACATCGTCTTCAAGTATCTTCTGCTTCTATCAACTTTTCTGTACTCGACTGAAGAAGCCTACTGTGTAGGCGAAACGTTTCGAAATAAAGATACCTAACTGTTGCATATGTGTCTTACCTAACAATCTGTCGGTATTTTATACCATTTTAATGTTCATTACATTCACTTGTTAGACGAAGAATGAGAGGAGACTTGATCGAAGTGTATAAGTGGAAGATAGGTATAAATAAAGGGGATATTAATAAGGTCTTGAGGATATCTCTCCAAGAGAGAACCCGCAGTAATGAATTTAAATTAGATAAGTTTAGATTTAGAAAGGACACAGGAAAGTATTGGTTTGGAAATAGGGTAGTTGAAGAGTGGAACAGTCTACCTAGTAGGGTTATTGAGGCTAGGACTTTGGGTAGTTTCAAATTTAGGTTGGATAAGTACATGAGTGGGAGGGGTTGGATTTGAGTGGGACTTGCACATCAGAGCTTATTTCTTGGGTAGCATCGAAAATTGGGTTGGTCAAATGTTTTGTTAGTGGGATGAATTGTAAAGGACCTGCCTAGTATGGGCCAACAGGCCTGCTGCAGTGTTCCTCCTTTATGTTCTTATGTTCTAGGAGGAGAGATTAAGGGAAATCGACCTGACGACACTGGAAGACAGGAGAGATAGGGGGGATATGATAACGACAGATAATACTGAGAGGAATCGACAAGGTGGACAGAGACAGGATGTTCCAGAGATGGGACACAGCAACAAGGAATCACAGTTGGAAGTTGAAGACTCCGATGAATCACAGGGATGTTAGGAATTACTTCATCAGTCACAGAGTTGTCAGGGAGTGGAACAGTCTGGGAAGTGACGTAGTGGAGGTAGGATCGATACATAGCTTTATGATACAGCTCATGGAGCAGGAAGAGTGACCTAGTAGCGACCAGTGAAGAGGCAACCACAACTAGGTGAGTACAGACACACACAAACAGAACAGGCCAAGACACAAGTGTCTTATAGACAAGTGAATCTGACAAAATGGTAACACTCAACTTGAGATCATTCCTTACCATCGTGCCTCTGATTCCCACATACTGTACCATCTTTCTACCTCTCAATCAGGTAACTTTTCCCCAGTCATAGTTTTTATTTTTCAGCCACTGGACACCACAGCTGCTAGTGACGTCTAAATCGAATGTTTGTTAAAACATTGTGTTGGTTGTCTCACAAGCAGACTCGTGGTACTCCGTGTTTTAAGTCTTTGTAACTGATTTTCCAGTGAAATATTAAATGATTCTCACGTTAACTGAGCGGGCACCTCAGGCATACACGCAGCTTACACACACTGTAGCGGCCAGCGAAGAGGCGGGGCCAAGAGCTAAGACTCGACCCCTGCAACAATGTATTGGCGGGTACATATAAGTGCGTATGCAGGGTGCGCCCATGTGCACACGCCATGCATGCGTAGACGCACATACACAGCGCACATATGTGAGTATACAGTGTAGACATGCACATACACAAGGCACATACACACAGCGCGCACACAGGCACGCACAATTACACTCACACACACATAAACACAGCGCAGACGCACGTACATAGTTTCCTGGCGACCCTCTTTTTCCAGCCTTCGTGATACAACGAACTCTAAGATTCAACTAACTACTTCGCGCTGCCAATGTGCACCACCAATTTTCTTTTTATTTCGTTAATGTTAGCTAATTTTAAGAAAATTTAAATGATACACAAAAAAAAAGAGATCAAACATAACATGACCGAAAAATATCAATATTTTTTTCACATGTTGTGATTTTCGAAGCTTACAGATATGCACGAACGGAAATCCAGTGTATCATAAAAGTGCTTGTCGAAGAGATTGTCTCTTGAAGAACACACACACTCGTTGTAGAAAAGTTTTTTTTTTACTGGGACAGCGTTTCGCTCTATGTAGAGCATTAATTCATAGTGAAGCTCTACACGAAGTGATACATTTTCCCAATAAAAAGTCACATTACTGTAATAATACTGGTCCGTGGACCAGTATTGTCACAGTAATTCTTACACTATTACTATGTTCTTTAATACTTGTAACACTTATCACTATAAGTACTGCTGCCATTTACTCACTACTACTCCTATTATCTTCTCCCTCCCTCCACCCTGTCTTTCCTTCTTTGTCCTTTAATATCGCGTTCAGCCGTAATTTAGCAAATTTTAAATGGTTCTTCCTAAATGTGAGCAGGACGAGTTTTGTATATACTCTATTAGGATGCCTCTTGTCGACCCCAAGTAGCATTCGCCGGTCTTGTTAAACAGTGACCACGAATACACTCGCACTAGCAGCCTCATGACAGGCTGCCACGGTTAAAAACCCGTCGAAACCGGCCACAGGCAACTGTATACTATATAATAATATACATACGTTTCGGTAATGGGACTTTGTTCACTCCAAATGACCAAAATGTTCTTTGATTCACACTATCGGTATCGTTACGTATTTCTTCAAAATAATGCAATAAACGAATAGCCAAACACTTGACGACACGTACAATCTAGTGAAACGAGAGTTTGCCATATATAGAAGGCACTAAAACTGTTCATGCAGCGCTTTATACGTATACCATTATTAACTTTATCATATATACACTAATGCATCATCATCAAAGTGCTGCTGTCGTGACCAAGTCACTCGCATTGCAGAAATCATAATCACAAATGAAAATTAAACTATTTGAGGCAAATGTTTCTCATTCCTCAATCCAAATACATAATTCGTTTCGTGTTACTGGCCGTAGTTGTCATCAAATTTAGGCCCTAGAGCAGAAAGAGATGCTGAGTTCCAAGGCAAGTACCCTGCATGATGAGTAGCACCCCAAGAGAAGAGGCCCCTACTACTAGGCACAAACGTAAGGGTTTTAGTGAACCTAGGGCCGAGTTCCACCACTCCTTACAAGGGAGTGTGTCTTACTCAATTTGCAGACTTTACTCTAAGTAAACACTGCACCTTTAACTACCCAAATACAATAAATTAGCGTTTATTTCGAGGCAAGGAGACGTAGATTCGACACTTTTGCACAGAAAACAAACAGCAAAAACTTCCCCTCTTGCCAAAACAACACCTGACGGGTACTCACCGAGGACGAAGCCATCCTTGGCCCACTGCACCCTGCCGGCCTGGTTGCCCACCTCACACTTCATGATGGCGACACTGCCCTCGATCACGTGGTGGTCTTTGGGAGGCTTGCGGAAGTGCTGCCGCTGCTGCCCCCAGGCTGTGAACACGAGAAAATTACAATATATCAGGTGTTGCATTAATTACGGAAAACGCTAATATTTCTCTGTTCATTAATATTAAGGGCGACAGGGAAATGACAGGCTGTGGAAAGCTGTGGCGAGTTTCAGTCGGCGAGAGAGAATTAGAGGGAGAGAGAAAGTACCTGGTAGTGCATGAGAAATATGAACAGTAGAGAACTTGCGAGTCTAAACCAGGATATCTACTGCACAGAGAAATATCTGCTTCACTCTAAATTACGAATTATTGAGCATTATCTATGTGTAAGAGTCAAAAATAGAGAGAGAGAGAGAGAGAGAGAGAGAGAGAGAGAGAGAGAGAGAGAGAGAGAGAGAGAGAGAGAGAGAGAGAGAGAGAGAGTACTCCAGGCCCAGATCTGCGAAAAGACGAGAGGGACAAGAGAGAAAAAAATGAGAAAGAGAGAGAGAGAGAGAGAGAGAGAGAGAGAGAGAAGAGAGAGAGAGAGAGAGAGAGAGAGAGAGAGAGAGAGAGAGAGAGAGAGAGAAAAGAGAGAAAGAGAGAGAGAGAGAAAGAGAGAGAGAGAGAGAGAGAGAGAGAGAGAGAGAGAGAGAGAGAGAGAGAGAGAGGACAGGGAGGAGTGCATCAGCTCACCCACCGTAAACACTGAAGAGTTTTCTACATTTGTTTTACTGCTAGCGTAATGGGGGTGAAATTTATCACGCCTGGCTGTTTTATGCTATTTATCAAGGACTAATGCGCAGGGAATGGAAGCAGAGGAGTAGGGGGCGGCTTGTGCCAGGGGAAAAAACATACATTATATTAACGTAGCCAGACTTAGTAATGAAGATTTTAAAACGAGTTACACGAACAACACACACATAAACACACACACACACACACACACACACACACACACACACACACACACACACACACACACACAAGGAAAAGGATCTTAGGGTAAGTATAATACCGAGCACATCTGAAGCGCACATCAACCAGATAACTGCTGCAATATATGGGCGACTGGCAAACCTGAGAATACCGTTCCGATACCTCAGTAAGGAATCCTTCAGAACTCTACACCGTTTACATCAGGCCCATACTGGAGTATGCAGCACCAGTTTGGAACCCACACCTGGTCAAGTACGTCAAGAAATTAGAGAAAGTGCAAAGGTTTGCAACAAGACTAGTTCCAGAGCTGATGAGAATGTCCTACGAAGAAAGGTTAAGGGAAATCGGCCTGACGACACTGGAGGACAGGAGGGTTAGGGGAGACATGATAACGACATACAAAATACTGCGAGGAACTGACAAGGTGGACAGAGACAGGATATTCCAGAGATGGGATACAGAAACAAGGGGTCATAATTGAAAGTTGAAGACTCAAGTGAATCAAAGAAATGTTAGGAGGTATTTCTTAAATCACAGAGTTGTCAGGAAGTGGAATAGTCTGGCAAGTGACATAGTGGAAGCAGGAACCATACATAGTTTTAAGACGAGGTATGATAATGCTCATGGAGCAGGGAGAGGACCTAGTAGCGACCAGTGAAGAGGTGGGGTCAGGAGCTAAGACTCGACCCCTACACCCACAAATATGTGAATACAAATGGGTGAGTACACACACACACACACACAAGCACACGCACACACACACACACACACACAACACACACACACACACACACACACACACACACACACACACACACACACGACAGAGTTGGTCCTTTTAAAGATTTAAACCCACAAACACACCCTGCAGGGGTGTCTCAATGCTGGTAAAGGGCTCTTGCTCCAGGAATTGAAACCTCCCTCTTCTTCCTTGGATCAGACTGGACTACCTATGTATAGTAAGACACCATATGCAGAAAAAATCTATTTAGAGATTATATCAGTAGAACGAAACATAATTATATATATATATATATATATATATATATATATATATATATATATATATATATATATATATAGATATAGGGAGAAGCGCTAAACTCATAGGGGACATACAGCTCCTGGGGTTAAAGGAGGCAATCAGGGAGAGAACATGCCCAATTCCTTGGATCAAGAGCCCATACTAGTCGGCAAGTCTTGTCATCCAACAATTTACGAAACATTCTGTCGGCACAATATTGCCCCTACGAATTTAACGCTTACCCGTAATAACTGTACAAAAATAATAACTATTTCTTTGATTAACTCGTCAATAACGATCAGCTGACTGTGCCAAACACAATGTTGATCAGCTGACTGTCCCAAACACAATGTCATGTCTACACATGTTGATCAGCTGACCGTCTCTGTGACATGGACACACAATTCCCATGTTGTAAATCCATTTATTATACTCGTAAATGTTATAAACTGGATAGAAGAACAATACTGTGGACGGAACAATTCACAAATACTCCCTACAATTCACAAATATCACCCACAATTCACAAATATCACCCACAATTCACAAATATCACCCACAATTCAAAAATGTCACCCCCCAATTTAAACCGGTTTATAAAAACACAAGCATGACAAAAGATGTTTATTAATACAACGTTTCACCAACATGATAAACCCTCGCATAGGTGAAACGTCTACGTGTGTTTGTAAACCACTAGACAGACCATACTTGAACAGCAATTTAAATTGTTGGCTGTCAGTAAAGTGGATAGAAACAACACATTAGAGTAATAAAATAATAATGATAGCGGATTTGCTGTATTAATAACGCCATGGAGTAATAACCTAATGCGATATTACAGTAATTAGAAAACACATCAGCCTATATTACACCTATTAGTAATATCATAACACAAGAGCGTATATTACATATATATATGTATATATATATATATATATATATATATATATATATATATATATATATATATATATATATATATATATATATATATATGTCGTGCCGAATATGTAAAACTGGTCAATTAGCAAGAACTCATTTAAAATTAAGTTCTCTCTGAAATTTTCTCTTATACATTTAAAGATATATTCTTTTCATTAATGTTAATGTAAATTTTTTTAATTTTTTTCACCAAAGAATCTTAGAAAACTTACCTAACCTTATTATAACAAGAGCAATTTATTTTAGCCTAACCCAACTAAATATGTTTTAGATTTGTTTATAATAATTTAATACTAAACAAACAGAGTGAAATATATTTTTTTCGTTAGGTTCAGAATGATTTTGGCGAAATTATTGCATACACAAATTTTCACTTGTCCTATATGGCAAGATGAACGTTGCTATTTAAGCCAAGATCGCAAATTCTGCCTATTCGGCACGACATATATATTATACGTTATATATATATATATAATATATATATATATATATATATATATATATAATATATATATATATATATATATATATGCATATATATATATATATGCATGCAATAAGATCACAGTAAACAGGTGATTTCAGAATATGCAAAACAACCACTGTGAAAGAATGGAGAAATTCCAAGCGCTTTCGTGACTTCTCACATTATCAAGGAATAATGTGAGTAGTCACGAAAGCGTTTGGAATTTCTCTATTCTTTCACAGTGGTTGTTTTGTACATTAATATATATATATATATATATATATATATATATATATAATATATATATATATATATATATATATATATTATTTTATTAACACATCGGCCGATTCCCACCAAGGTTTTATAAACTGTAGTGTAAAGCACCAGAGGGGTGCTTTACACTACAGTTTATGAAACTGTAACATTAACACCCCTCCTTCAGAGTGCAGACTCAAGTCCGGCACTGCCGGTTTCCCTGAATCCCTTCATAAATGTTACTTTGCTCACACTCCAACAGCACGTCAAATATTAAAAACCATTTGTCTCCATTCACTCCTATCAAATACGCTCATGTATGCTGGAAGTCCGAGCCCATCACACACAAAACCTCCTTTACCCCCTCCCTCCAACCTTTACTAGGTCTACTCCTACCCCGACCTCCCTCCACTACTGATTTGTACACTCTCGAAATCATTCTGTTTCGTTCCATTCTCTCTACACGTCCGAACCACCTCAACAACCCTTCCTCAGCCCTCTGGACAATAATTTTGTCAATCCCGCACCTAACTTTCAAACTACGAATTCTCTGCATTATATTCACACCACACATTGCCCTCAGACATGACGTCTCCACTACCTCCAGCCTTCTCCTTGTTGCAATATTCATTACCCATGCTTCACACCCATACAAGAGCATTAGTAAAACTATACTCTCATACATTCCCCTCTTTGCTTCCAAGGACAAAGTTCTTTGTCTCCACAGACTCCCAAGTGCAAGCTCACCTTTTTCCACTCATCAGTTTTTTGAATCACTTCATCTTTCAGAGACCTATCTGTTGACACGTCCACTCCCAAATATCTGAATACATTCACCTCCTCCATACTCTCTCCTTCCAATCTAATATCCAATCTTTCGTCACCTAATCGTTTTATCCTCATAACCTTACTCTTTCCTATATTCACTTTTATTTCTCTTCTTTTACATACCCTACCAAATTCATCCACCAACCTCTGCAATTTCTCTTCAGAATCTCCCAAAAGCACAGTGTCATCAGCAAAAAGCAACTGTGACGACTCCCACTCTGTGTTTCATTCTTTATCTTTTAACTCCACATGTCTTGCCATGACCCTTGCATTCACTTCTCTTACAACTACGTCTATAAATATATTGAACAACCAATGTTGAATGCCGAATATTTATTATTAAATTATTGTAATCTAAAATATATTTAGTTGGATTAGGCTAAATTAAATTGCGCTTATTATAATAAGGCTAGGTAAGTTTTCTATGGCGCTTTTGGTACAAAATTATTAATTTTTACTTTAACGTAAATGAAAGAGAATATATCTTTGAACGTATAAGAGAAGAGAAAATTTTAGAAAGGACTTAATTTGACATGAGTTCTTGTTAACTGACCAGTTTTATCTATTCGGCACGGCCTTGTTGCAGTCCACCCACCCCCCTCTC